AGCCGCTTTTTAGTACAAAAATTAAAATTATTGTACTAGAAAGCGGCTTTTAGAAGCACAAAGAAAGCTGTCACAAACGAAACCTTAGTTTCAAAGCTCTATGCAAAGCACTTCTGTCTATTCTCTTGTTCCAAAAGTACTAATTTTTGTACTAGAAAGCGGCTTTTAGAAGCACCAAGAAAGCTGTCCCAAACGAAACTTTAGTTTCAAAGCTCTGTGCAAAGCACTTCTGTCTATTCTCTTGTTCCAAAAGTACATTATTTGTTTCCTAATGCTGCAGTATCCAACAATGACTAAGGCTTCGTTTGGAACTGTTTTTTTACTTTTACCTGAAGCAGCTTTCTAATACAAAAAAAAATTAATTTTTATACTAAAAAACTGCGTCAAAAAGCATGACAAAAAAAATTAATTTTTATACTAAAAAGCTGCTTCAAAACACAGGAAAAAAGATGTTCCAAATGAAGACTAAGGCTTCGTTTGGGACGGCTTTTTACTATTTTCTAAAATGGAGTTTTAGTACAAAATTTTTTATTTTTGTACTAAAACTCCGTTTTAGAAAGCAGTAAAAAAGTCGTCCCAAACAAAGCGTAAGGCTTCATTTGGGACAGCTTTCTTGTTGCTTCTTAAGAAATTTTTAGTTCAATAATTAAATTAAAAAGTTGTTTTAAGAAGCAACAATAAAGTCGTCCCAAACAAAGATTGAGTATATAAGTCTGCAAGAAAATTAAGAAAGACAAAGTTCAGTGAAAGAATCTACTATGAATTTGTCTTACATGTGGAATATTTCAAGAATAATTCTTTTGTGGTTTGTTTGGCTTAGCTTATGCAAGCTCTTGTGAGTCTGGAAGTCTTAAGATAGAGTTGATTGGGTGTGAGATCATTTGGACTTCATAAGCTCAGTGTAAGGCCTTTATGCTTATGGATTTGATATATTTGTTTTGGGAAAAAATTAAGAAGAAAAAAAATATTATTTATTGCAAATAAATATATTATGGTTATATTGGGAACTGTTTTTTTATTGCTTTCTAAAGCAGTTTTCTCGTACAAAAATTCTTTAACTATAAATTTGGTATTAAAGAGTTGCTTTAGGCTTCATTTGGGATGACTTTCTTACTGCTTCTTAAAGCGTCTTTCTAGTACAAAAATTTTAATTAAATATTTGTACTAGAAAGTCACTATAAGAAACATTAAAAAAATTGTTCCAAACAAAACCTTAAAAAGCAATAATAAGATTGTCTCAAACAAAACCTACATCTTAAGCTGAATTAACTATTAATCTTTTTGTCTGATGCACTTCAAATTGAGTTAAGGCTTTGTTTTTTTGTGAAGTTAAATTAAATATTTTTACCTATGAGAACATTTTCTTCACAAATCCTGCAAAAGTTGAATGTTAGTTCATTAATTTCTCACAAATGACATTCTTCTTATATATATAATGTCACATCATCAAATTTGTTGAATGCTCAGGAAATTCAATGCTGGGCAATGCCAAATAGAAGAATTCTGTGAACTCATTCCACTGTTGGAAAACTTTTTGCAACCTTTGTAATAGGATGTCATGTTGGCAACCTTTCTAATACTCAACATCTATTATAAGACAAACCCACAATTGCTCACATTGGTCTGTTGGTTAGGGTCTTTGGCTATTTTTCGGCTTAGTAAGGCTTTGTTTAGGATGGCTTTTTTACTGCTTTAAGAAGCAGTAAGAGAGCCTCCCAAACGAAGCCTAATTATAAGTACAAGAGCAAGAATGGATTCTCTCCTTAATCACATTATTCTTATCTCACACCTTTCCAATGTCCTCTATCTCATACCTCTTCATTGTCCACTTTTTTGAAATCATCTCTTTAGCCTAGCATATGATACATAATCTTTGAGATCCTTAGCGGCGACTTGTCCTCTTCTTCTTGACTTAAATTTAAAAAACTTTATTTTAACCTTGCTAAAAAAGATTGAGAGTGGATGGAATATGACTATAAAGGAAGAAATAGGGAGTTTGCAACTTTGCATGTTACATTCATCTTAATAGATAATCAAAATATAGTTTATAGGCTATAAATTATTTTTGATAGATTAGCCATTTGTAATCCATCAATGATTTTGGTAAAATATATTTGTAGATAATATTTATTGAAAATTACCATTTTTTGTGTATAGTTGAAATCATAAGAAAGTAAATGCAAAAATATATATTTCATTTTAGTTGTGGGTTGGATTGCTACGTAGGCAAGTTTTGCTCCCTATTTTGATTAATATTATTATTTGATCTACCGAATATTGTTTATTAGTTTTGGACTTTAACATAAAAGAGCAAAATATAAAAAATGTGGTAAATTATTATCCTAGGATTAGATGGGGGCATTTAAAGAATGTTAACAAAAAATATTTTTGGGAGTAAGATTCAAAATCTCAATATTTTGATTGTGCATGAGAAAGTTAATGTTATGTTGAAAAAAATAGCCAGTGATATTAAGAATATTACAAAATATGTGCAAAGAGTATCAAAAGAAAAGGTCATAATAATAAAAATAGTTTGCAGTGAAATAAAATGTACAAAAAATATCAAAATTAAAAAGATTTGTTATAAAAATTTGTTTAGATGTAAAAATTCAAAAAAAAAAGGAAATATATAGAGGTATGTAAGGAGTCTAAGAAAATAATATTTTATTCAAAAAATTTGACTTTTAATGATTTATATAATATATTAGATACTAAGTATGGCAAAATATATATTTATAAGTTAGCCAAGCAAAGAGATAGGAGAAGTAAGAATCTAGTGCAAATGAAGTGCATTAAAGATGAAGATCAAAAGTGTTTTTATTAGAAGAGGATATTTGACATAGGTGGATGAGACATTTTGATAAGCTTTTCAATAAATATTGCAAGATTAAGATTCAATTTAATAACCTTAGTACTATTAATAAAAATAGATATTTTTATTTTTTATCTTCGTATTAATGAAATCAGAGTTAGATAGTCTTTAAAGAAAATAAAATATGAAAAAACAGTTGGATTTAATAATATTCCAATAGAGGTGTGAAATGCTTAGAAGATGAAAGAATTTATTGGGTTACTTTATTTTTAAGACTAAAAAAATGTCAGATGAATAAATGAGTGTATTGGTTCCTATTTTTAAAAGTAAAAGAGATGCACAAGAGTATATGAACTATAGAGGAATTAAGTTAATGTATCATACATTAAAACTATAAGAAATAGTAATTGAGCTTAGGTTACGATGTGATACTAATGTTTCTCATAACAAATTTGAACACATGTCAGGTAGGTCTACTATGGAAGCTATAAATTTATTAAAAGGTGTTTATGGAGAAGTATAGAGGAATAAGAATAATCTACATATTATATTTATTGATTTGAGAGAACATAAAGTTTCAAAAGAAGTGCTCTTGAAAGTTATAAAAAAAAGGACTTAATAATGCTTATATTTAAGTCATTAATGATATGTATGCAAGGGTTCTTGCTTATGTTAAAACACAAGGTGATTTGATCAAGGATTTTCCTATTTCAGTTGGATTACGTCAAGGATCAGCTTTAAATCATATATTTTTGTTTTAATCTAGATGTTCTTATTAGACATTTGCTAAAGGATGCGCCTTGATGTATGCTTTTTCTAATAATATTCTTCTTATTGATAAGACTAGAAATGGAGTTAAAGGAAAACTTGGATTCTAGCTGAAGGCCAACCTTATAGCCTAAGGCTTTCATTTAAGTAGACCTAAAAAATGAATACATTGAGTATAATTTTAGTAGTAATAGATCTAGTGCAGGGTTGTGACTTTAGGCGATGCAATCATTTAAAACAGTACATGTTTTAAATATCTCAAGTGATCTATTGTTCAAAGTGATGGAGAAATATATGAGATTTTATTAGTAGAATTCAAGTTGGATGGTTGAAGTGGAGAAATACATCAGGCTCATAAGTTGTGTGATAAAAAAATTTCCCCTCAAACTTAAGGAAAATTTTCATAAGATGGTGATGATACCTGCAATGTTTTATGACATAGAATGTTGGCCATTAAATAAGAAGCATAAAATTAAGTTAAGTGTTGCAGCGATGAGGATGCTTAGGTGAACGAGTTGTTTTACATTTATATACATAATGTGAAATGAGTATATACGTGAAAAAGTTGGAGTAGCTCCATAGAGAGAGTCTCCTTAGATGGTTTGCTCACATAAAATGTCGGTCTTTCGATCACCCAGTAAGGAAAGTATATGTATTAGAACTAGCCTAAAAAGACTTGGTTAGAAAGTATTAGAATGAACTTTATTTATTATATTTAAATAAGAATTCGACTCTTAATATGACACAATGGAAAAAAAAGACTCATATAATCGACCCCGTATAGTGGGATAAATGCTTGATATTATGGTTGTTGTATATTACAAACAATGATATTTTTACCATTAGATATGGCAATCTAACTCAAAATTATGGTTGGTGTATGATTATGAAAAATATTTATGCATTATTAGGTCTTCATTTGATGTTATATAATAATCTATATAATCAAAGCTATCATATAAGGCACATCTCATGTAGTTATCATGATATAAGATAATTGTATAAGATAATTGTGGACATGGCATAGTTATGACTTGATATCTAGAAGCACATTTGAATTCAAGTGAGCCAAGGAATACTAAAGAGAAACATATGATCAACATAAATATTGAGAGAAAAAGAAAAATCAATTCTTCTAAATCTCCTTAAGATATAAATGCTTGGAGGTAAAATTTGCAATATTATTCTTGTTACAATCAAGCAATCTTCTTATTGTTCCTAGAGTGCGCATCAAGTATTCCAAAGACCTCAAACATCAAGCCATGTAATAAAAAAGAGAATAAAATGTGAAAACATTCGAAGAACAAATTATATGAAATCACCAAATTCCCCTCTTTGTATATTTTCCCCTCTATATAACCACCAAAACTCCCATCTTTCCCAACCCAAAGCCACCCACCCATCCTCTACGGCTACCGCCATGCCTCCCCAACCACTTCCCGCCGCCTCCCGCCGCCGCTTTAGCCCCCTCCGCTGCCTCGCCCTCACTCTCCTCTCCCTGATCATCCTCGTCGGCCTCATCATACTCATCTTCTATCTCATCGTCCGCCCCTCCCCTATCTCCTACTATGTCGACGACGCCCACATCCGCAACTACAACCTCTCCTCCTCCGGCGAACTCACCGCCTCCTTCGACCTCTCCCTCCTCGCCGACAACCGCAACCGCCACGTCTCCATCTACTACGACTCCCTCGTCGTCGCCATCTGGTACGCCGACCAAATGCTCGCTTTTCGCGAACTGCCGCCTTTCCACCAGCCGAAGCGGAACGCGACGCGGCTTTTACTATCGGCGGCGGCGACGGCCACGCCCTTGTTGGGGTCGGTAGCAGACGGGCTGAAGCATGACCGCTCGGCGGGGCAGGTGGCGGTGGAGGTGAGGGCGAGGGCGAAGATAAGGTTTAAGGTTGGGGTGGCAAAGACGAAGCATTATGTTATGAGAGTGTACTGTGCGCCGGTGGTGGTGAGGTTCTCGCCGGCGGCGGGGATGTTTCAGAGGGCGTTTTGCGATGTGGATGTGTGATTGATTTGCAGTTCAATTTCTTCTTATTTGAGCTTTAATTCTGGTTAGAAACTTAGAATTTGGGTGAATATTGTTATGTAAACTCTTCATTTTTTTCAGTGGCAAAGATGTAATTGTGGCAAATTGATTTTTTTTTAAAATGTTATTTTTATATATTGTTTCCGATAAAATATATTAAGGAACTTTTTATATTAAGTCATTTACATTGTATGTAAAACATCATATAATGTGTGGAAAATAGGAGAAAATGTGGGAAATTATGTTATGTTGAACACTATATATATATATATATATATTTGATTATAAAACTACATGAAAAATTTTATTTATTTTATAATATTTGCATCATAATTTAATTTAGTTGTAAGAAATAAAAATATATTATATTTTATCATTTAAATATATTTTAGGTATTTTAACAACTAAAATTTTTAATCATAAGTTGCAAAAGCTAACTACTAGATATTTTTTATTCATTATTATTTATTTATTTTTTTATGCCAAGTAAAGAAAAGTGGTTTATATGATTTTTTTGCAAAAAGAAGAGGTAATAATATCATAGTAGATCTCTACTTTCTATCAGAAATTTCAATATCACAAATATATATTCTACCAGCTACCATCCCATTTCCAATCGGTGAAATAAGACACAGAGAAAAAGATACATAATAATACACAAGCGAAATGTAGTGAATCAAAATATTAAAAATAAACGAGTGATTGTCTCCAAAATAAAATAAAATAAAATATGATAAAGTATATTAAAAATAAAAGTCATACCTATAACCACATCCGAAACATCTCTTGCCTCAAGCTAAGTCAAACAATACACATTTGCCTAAACTGGAACTGAAGCAATAGAACTATCAAGCTCTCTCTGACCACTCCCATGTAATATACTTACCATAGAACTAGAACCACAACCTTTGCTAGATGATCCCTTCGTAAACATGCAAGGTGGAAATGTCCTTGGCCTACTTGAATACCTAATAGAACTCTCAGACCTAGACTCATAATGTCAATTGGGTCCTACTTGTAGACACTTAGCCACCCTATGTCCAATCTAGCACGCCAAAAATATTGTCATGTCATCCTATAACAATGACCAAAATGTCTCCAACCATAACTTCAACGCACATGTGCCCCACTCTTAAAACCACCAAAATTTGGCCACATCTCCAACACTTGGAACTGCTACAACATCAGCATCTCTTGGAATTTTTTAGGACCAAACCTTTCCTCTTTCAAAAAATATTACTCTTAGAAGTCTCACCATTGAAACTCTTCCTACTAAGAGTCCACCGTTGCTGAGTAGCCATCAAATTATTCTATATCAAATAGGCCCTCTCCACTAACTTAGATAAATCAAAAATATGAAATGGAATGAGCGGGTGTCTAAGACCATCCTGAAGCCCTCTCAAAAACCTGTAGCACTTATCCTCAAAAGTGCTAATTAGATGTGGAACGTACCTAGCTAAGTGAATTCTCCTTCATACTGCATAATCATCAGGCTCCCCTAAACCAATCTAAATAAGTCTCTTAAATATGTTATCTTATAGATAGTGGTACAAACCACGATCTAAAGACAGTTGTGAACCTCTAACTAATCAGGAAATCCAGTCTTCCATGAAGCTTCTCCCTCTATTGGCCCAACCACCAATGCTCAGCATCATTGTCTAACATAAACAAAATTAGAGATACTTTCATCTCAAGAGAACACTGCATTCCATAGAAGGTTTTCTTTAACCTCCTTAACCAGTCCTCTACTTCTCTTTACTCAACAACGCCCTGGAATCTCAGAGGCTTTAATCTCAAAAATATCTATAAGTGCTTATCAACATTATCAGATTTCCCATCAATTGGGCCACCATATACACAAACTTAGAAAAAAAATTAGAACTGACAACAGGAGTAGTACTATATACTAGTGTTTCCTGACTAACACTTTATCCATTTATCATATCCAATTCTTAAGGATCCCTCAGATAAATACTAAGAATGCATAGCTGATGAGACATACACATGAAAATAAGCAAAAATAAATACCTATACATACCTAAAATTATGTCTAAGTTTTGGGGAGCCAATAAAAGTAGTCTGCTATCCTGGTTGCCTACAATTTTAACTACCATATAAAAATTTCATATTTTAAAAACTCACAAGATTATCAGAGATTATTCAAAATATTGTTTTAAAGCTTTATCATATTATAGTCTAAGTTTTGGGAACAAGAATTATTTTCTAGTTTACCAAAAGTCGCACATTTTTTTAATTTACTCGGTGAAAATTAAAAAATATAGAAAAATACATAAATATCTAGAACTGATATATCTATAACATACAGAAGGTTATGCCATAAAAGATTTACAGGTACAAAGCTATTCCTTTTTTGGTTTTATGAAAGTATAATTTAAATCAAGAAAATCTCAAAATTTTAGTATTGTTGAAAACTGTGATAGGTAAAATTCAACCTACTTTGATTTGTACAATTTATTGAATTGGACGGACAGCAAAAAATGGATTTGAGGCCCCAAAATCAAACTTTCTCATTCTAGAATCCTCTTTTTTCTCTCTCTCCAAATGGCTAAAATGAGTTTTTAATATTTCAATAAAATGAATTAGAAACTATTTTCTTATATTTTATAAAAAATTTATCTAACATCACAACACCTGCTGCAATGCCTGACCTCAACGCTACGGTGGTAGTTCAAATTCTAGAAATTGACTAGAGAACTCAATGCCACTGCATTGCCAGCACAACGCTACAACGCTCCAAAGGAAAAACATTCTAGATTTTCATGCACAAACACAAACTCTCAGAATCTACTTCAGAACATATTCAAACACATTTAGGAATACAAAACACTCACAGACGCATTCAAAAAAAACATGAATATAGAAATTCTACTTCGTTGCTCTTACCAGACCGGGTCAAAACACGTGCAACTACATATGAGTTCAATATGTGTTACAACAAATCTATGGATGCCTAGATAGGGCTAAACTAGATTTTTTTTTTCTTAAGGTTTTCAATGGCTACACTAATGGGCCTAGGCTGCTTGTTCCTAATCCAAATTTACTAACCAAGGCCTTAATTGTATTATAACATTTATGGCATAATAAACTATGGAACCCATAATGAAGGTGGGTCCATGAATGCCTAGATGGGGCTAGACTGGATCCCAATGGGTGTTAGATAACATAATAATAATAATAATAATTAGTTAAAAATATTATGTTCAAATTCTTAGCCATGTTGTATTTAAAATTAATAATAATAATAATAATAATATTCTAATTGAATATTTGGTTAAGATGAATTTCAAGATTTTTGAATTTATTTTGAAATAAGTATAATATAAATCATTTGTATATTACAGTCAAATTAAAGGTGCACTTTGACCCATTTTTAATTTGGATATCCTATCACAATTTTTTTTTTTTTCATTTAAACTCTATAAGACATGCTTTGAGATTGGTGCGAGCTAAATTTTAATTGATTACTCATACATTATAATTATTTTGCAAGTAACTTGCAAATTTAGGACCCATCTTGTTTATAAAATATAGTCATCAATTTCTAAATATCTTAAATTTATGTATCGATCTGATTATAAATCAAGGCCACACAAATTTTTTTCATCTATACTTTATTAGTCATGCTTTGAGATTGGTGCAATAACATCTTCATAGTATCATGATGCCATTGCCATCACGGTGCTAAATCTAAGGGTGCCAATTTGTGTCATCGGGTTGTGTTCGGCTCAAATCTGACTTTAATCCGACAGTTTTTTATACTATCCGAACCCGACCCAATTCAAGTTTCGGGACATTTTTCTTAACTCAAAACAAGTCAAATATTCGAACCCAAACCCGAAATTTTCGTATCGCATTTTCGAGTCGTGCCCAATAATCACTCCCCTAACTAAATATAATCATTGCCCTTTGATAATAAAATCTCTTATCAGTCATTAGTAGTCAAAATTTTCAATTAACAAATCAAAATGAGCTGGATCAATATGAGCATATTTGATCTGTGAATGTCGATGGATTAAAATTTTCTATTTGCTTTCATTAATTATTGGTTGATAAATAATTTTCAGCATTTGTTTTTCAATGCGAATTTACTTAAATGGGATGAGAATCATTCAACCATGCAATTATATAAAGAACATATTTTTTTTTCTTTAATTGAATTAAAAAATTATTAATATATGATAATTAAATACCATTTGCATCAAACCTTTCGTATTTAAATCATTACATCGCACCGCTCTTTCAATTCTCAACTCTCAACCACAGCCATTCATTCTGCATGCCCCACAGGTGGAATCCTCTCAAGAAGCCCATCTCCACTGTACGCTCATGGAATCCCGCCTCCTCCATCTCCCCCGCCACCACCGCCCTCCCCTCTTTCCCATCCATCTCTCCCCCAACTCCATCCGCCGCCGTCACCGCCAACTCCATCCTCTTCCCCAGTTCAATTCCCCTATTCCTATGCAACTTTCCCACGACTCCTCCCTCTCCCCCATCGTCCATTCACACTCCCCCTCTGCTTCTTCTTCATCCGATCTCGCCCCCATCCCCCAATCCCAACGCACCTTTAAGGCTTTCGACATGGCCAGCCTCTGGATTGGCCTTGTCGTCGGCATCCCTTCCTACTACCTCGCCGGCTCCCTCGTCGACCTTGGCATGTCTTGGTGGCAAGGCATCGCCACCGTCTCCTTTTCCAACTTCCTCCTACTCCTCCCACTCACCCTTTCCGCCTTCCCCGGCACCCGCCACGGCCTTTCCTTCCCCATCCTCGCTCGCTCAACCTTTGGCCCACGTGGCTACTTCCTCCCTTCCCTCCTTCGCTCCCTCGTCGCCTGCGGTTGGTTCTCTATCGAATCCTGGATTGGCGGTAGAGCACTCCTCCTTCTCCTCCTCCCACTCCCTCATCCTCCTCTCCCCCTCCAATTCGCCTCCTTCCTCTTTTTCTGCCTCGCCCAAATCGCCCTAATCTGGCCCGGCATGGACTCAATTCGTAAACTCGAAGTCTACTCTGCCCCAATCCTCATCCTCCTCACCTCCTCCCTCCTCCTCTGGTCCGTTTCCTCTTCCGGCGGTTTCGGCCCAATGCTCTCCCTCACCTCCCGACTTTCCCCATCGGAGTTCTGGCCCGTCTTCTTCCCCGCCCTCAACGCCAACATCAGCTTCTGGGCAACAGTTGCCCTAAACATCCCCGACTTCTCCCGCTACGCCCGAACCCAACGCGACCAAATCCTCGGCCAAATCGGCCTCCCCGTCTTCATGGGCCTCTTCACCTTCGTCGGCCTCGCCGTCACCTCCTCAACCCAACTCATCCTCGGCCGGATCATCTCCGACCCTATCCACCTCCTTGCCGAAATCGGCGGCGGTCCAATCACCAAACTCGTCGCCGTCGTCGGCATCAGCCTCGCCACCATCACAACCAACATCGCCGCCAACATGGTCGCGCCTGCAAACGCACTCGTAAGCGTCAATCCCTCTCTTTTCAATTTCCAGCGAGGCGCAGTGGTCACGGCGCTGATTGGCTTATTATTTCAACCATGGAAGCTGTTGGGATCGAGTGAGAGCTTTCTGTATACTTGGTTGCTGGGCTCGTCGGCTCTAATTGGGCCGATTGGGGGTATAATGATTGTGGATTATTATCTGGTGAAGGGAATGGAATTAGATGTAGAGGAACTGTATAAGGAAGATAGGGAAGGGAAGTATTACTACTGGGGAGGGTATAATCTGGTGGCTATGGCGGCGTTGGTGGTCGGAGTTTTGCCGGCGTTGCCGGGGTTTTTGAACAAGGTGGGAATTTTGTCGAACACCTCTGTGTTTTTTGTTGGGGTGTATAACAATGCTTGGTTTGTGAGCTTTTTTCTGGCCGGGTTTGTGTATTGGGCGCTGTCTTGGTTGCTGGCGTTGAACAGAAGGGTTGGGGGAGAGATTGGAGAGGAAAGAGGATTGATTTCTTAATTTCTTTTACTGAATTTTTCTACACTGAGGCTACGTTTGGGACAGCTTTTTTATTTCTTTCTAAAACGGAATTTTAGTATAAATTTTTTTAATTTTGTACTAAAACTCCGTTTTATAAAGCAATAAAAAAGCCGTCCCAAATGAAACCTGAATAATGATTTTTTGTCCCATTCTCAGTCTGGAATGAATAATATTTTACTAGTGATGCAGCTCATTTTGATCTATCCATCGGATGTTTTGGCTACTAATTAAAAGATCTTGGATTTAAAATTTTTATATATGTGATGTGTGTGAATTTTGCGAGATTATTTCCTGCAGAGTTCGGACCGTCCGGATTTATACTAGTACATAGTAAATACATATTGTTTACAAACACCATGCATTTATTATGTATATCTTATGTACCATCACAAATTCCGGACGCATCTTACGTTCGGGCTCTACACATAATAATCTCTCGTGAATTTGCCCTTAACAACAACAACAACAAGCCTTTGTCTCACTATGTGAGGTTGACTACATTAATCATTTTTTTTTATTATGTCCTGTTAAAAATTAAATTCTCTTTTAAATCTAATAAAGAAATATCATTTTTAATATTTTATAGCCAAGCCTTTTTATGTCTGCCTCTACCTTTCTTAAATAAGTCAAATCTAATGCCTCTACTTTACTAACCGGGTTATCAGAAGACCGCCGTCTTATGTGACCAAATCATCTAAGGCGACTCTCTCTAATCTTATCTTCCACTGACGCTACTTCAATCTTTTCACATATATGCTCATTTCGTTTCCCATCTTTAAGGGTAAAGTCATTTATCCACCTGAGCATCCTCATCTCTGCAATACTTAGTATTATGCTTCTCTTTTAATAGCCAACATTCGGGACCATAAAGCATTACAGGATCTGTTCTATAGGATCGTATCGCTACATTTCTAGTAATAAAATAAGCAAGCATAATTTTCCCTCAAATGTTAAAAAAAAAAAAAAGTTAAAAAAAAAAAAAAAAAGTACCAGTTGAAATATTCAGCATCAAGTTCTAAAAAAATATTCATTTATCAAGAGGGATGGAGTCAATGTGCTTTGCTGCAGATTTTTTATTTTATTTTATTTTTTGTTTCCTTATTTTTGGTTGGGAATGGTGAGATTCAGATTTATATATATATAGAACTGGTATTTAGAAATTTGATAATAACTTTTAATATTTTAAATGCATTATGATTTATATATTTTATCCTCTCCATATGAATGGGTTATTTGTGAGTGAAAAAACAGAAGAAAAATCAATCCCCCGTTATCTCTATAAGTATATTGTTGCCATGAAATCATATATATTTTTTAACCTTATCTCCATAAAATAAAATAAAAAACCTAAAAATAAAAAAAGTCTGGTTGAGAGAGTTAGTGATACCCACTATTTTATGATGACCACCTAAAAATAAAAAAAGTCTGGTTGAGAGAGTTAGTGATACCCACTATTTTATGATGACCCTCGTCCTCGGTTCAACAATCTCTCTTGATTAATTATTCTGTGCGTATAGAATGTCGTTCAGAGACTAATTAGAATGTACGTCACCCCTTGCTCGGTGATACTGACGTGATGTATTTTGGTTAGTCTCCAGACGGCGTTCTGTTTCTGATCTCCACATAGAAAATTTTTCTTCTCTTTCTCTTCATATTTATATTTATATTTATATAAATTTTTATTTCAGTAAAATATTACTAGTGTAAAATTTATAAGGTTAGATTTAACAAATTTAGGGATTTAAAAGTATATAATTGTACATCAACCATAATTTATGAAAGTATAATACATCCCTACAAAATTTGTTTCTTTTCTTAGAATAAAATATGTCCTATATAATTTTAACTCTTATGATTACTTAGCCAACATTCATAATATAGAACCTAAAAATTATGTTGAAACAGTTTGCTTTAATAGGTCAAAGAAGCATTTCTTTGTTTTGTATGTACTTGTGGCATAAATAATTTTTTTTCATTTGGAAAATATTTTAAGGATAATAAGAGGGGGAGTCAAAAATATACTTGGCAATTCCCCTTTATTTAAAGAGATTCATTCTTTGAATCAGAGTAAGTTCATAAAAGAATTAAAACTTAATTATGAATTGTCGAACATCGTCCGGTGTTCGGGTATGCAAGATGTTCTTAAGTTTTAAACAAATTCATTCTTTTAATCAGAGTAAGTTCTTAGTTTGTACTAACGGGTTGCATGCAAGTTGTTGATGTGAACTACAATGCATTGCTGCATTCAGTGCTTGTTGTCTTTATGCAAGTTGTTGTGTACATGACGAGTCTTCTATTGTTGTTTGCAAAAGTCATCGTCTCAACTTGCAATATGAATATTGCTTGCATTAAGGCTTTCATCGATGAATGTAGGAGACACTCGTGCATTCTACAGTTGGCTGCTGTCGCTTCCAACTAGGAGTGTCAATTCGGGTTGACGGGTCGGGTTCGGGTCGAACCCAAGTTGACCCGGATCTAAACGGATCAACCCGAACTCGACCCATTTTTGCAAACGGGTCCGACATTTCAACTCGGACCCGACCCGCGCGGGTTGTCGGGTTGACCCAACCCGGATTTAGTAGATTTGGCTGATGAAGCGTGAGCTGAGCCCTTAGGTCGCGAGCGCACTCCGCGCGGCTGCGGGCAGAGTCCACGGGTCCGCGACTGAGCTAGTGCGGGCAGAGTCCTCTGCAAGTCCTCGGGTGCGCTAGTGCAGGCAAAGTCATCCGCGGGTCTGCCATCCGCGAGTGCGCCAGTGCGAGCTGAGTTGTCCGCAGGATAGTGAGTGCAAGCGGAGTCGTCCGCGGGTCCACGAGCGCGCAGCAACGAGCAAAGTCCGCGGGAGTCGGGATTGTGCCAGTGCGGGCGGAAATCTAGAACCTAACATTGTCGGGTTGATTTCGAGTTTCCGGGTCAACCTGAACCCGACCCTTTTTTGAAACGGGTCAAAAATTCGAACCTAAACCTGAACCCGACATGTTTGCTAACCGGGTCAACCCGAACCCGGATTTTTCTTGGTAGAGTTCGGGTCGGGTTTCAGGTCATGTCAAAAATTGACTCCCCCTCCTAACTACATATGGAGTATTGTAGAAATTTGTTGCATTTGTCATGCATTAATCAGCAAGTCTTTTTTATTTACCTTAAATTGTAAGTGTTGTTATTGATGTTTGCTTTTAATTTTCTTAGATGTTGCAAATTAATTATCATTTATTGCTTCTTCAATCTACGATCTGGTTGTTGCTTGCGTGACAGGTCTTTGATTGTTGCAAGTGGGTGGTACTTGTGCATTTCATAATTGACTGATGTTACTTACAAGTTAACCACATATGGAGTTTTCCGCCACGAGTCCCTTGCTTGTTTACTTGTACTTGTTTGAATACATTAAATTAACACCTTACATTTGTATTTTAATTTTAATTGTGTATTTTAAGATTTAGGGGCCAGTCTCTTGTAATTTGGTTTAAGTCATGTTCCCTATTGTTCAAAGTTGATCTCTAGCTCCTCATACAACTCCCCTGCGCTTTTGTTTAAATTCAGGTCATAGATTATTTGAAATTTTGGCAGAATCCTGGCATGTCCCTTGTTTAGGGGAAATACGGGGAGCTGAGCCTTCCCACTACACTATAAGAGCGTGTATGATAGCTATTGTGTGACACCACAGCCGTAGTCTTCAGTCCCACCACGCTGCAAGAGTATGTATGGGCCTTCAAGGTACCTATTTGTTAAGTTTGAGTTTGATTCCTTGCACTTCATTCAAGTTATCATGTGCATTTATTCAAGTTATGTGTTTATGTTTAGTTACAGTCCTTTGCTTGCTACAAAATTCGGCACCATCCTGACATATCTCATGTTTGGGGGAAACGCGGGGAGCTGAGCCTTCCCACCATGCTATAAGAGTGTGTAAGACATCACGATCATAGTCTTCAATTCCACCACACTATAAGAGCATGTATGGGTCTTCAACGTACCTATTTGTTTAAATATGATTTCCGTCACTTTATTCAAGTTATCATGTATGTTTGTTCAAGTTCTGAATTTATGCTCAAGTACAAGTCTTTTGTTGTGAATTTTAGTAGTATTCTGGCATATCCCACATCTGGGAGAAATTTGAGGAGTTAGGCCTTCCCACCACACTACCAGAGCACATATGGCAGTTGTCGTGCGACACCACATCTGTAGTCTTCAATCCCATCACACCAAAATGGCGTGTATGTGTCTTCAAGGTACTTGTTTGGAAATGCACAATATTTTTTCCCCGCAGGCACTCAAGTGTGTACACGTATAATCCGCCTCATCGTAGTTGTCGCTTTGGATTCTCTCCTACCGTGCTACAAGAGCGCATATAGGGGGTCCACAAACATGTCACGTGTGTCGAGAACGAGATTTAGAACATTATACCTTGCGTAGGGATCATTGACAGTGCAGATATCAAGGTAGAGGGCATCGTTGACAGTGTCGGGGCCACGACGACTGTATCAGTGTTGTCAACACGTAAATCGAGACATGAGAAGTAATTTCTTATTTTATTTTTATTAATTATGATTAATTATTGTGGACCTCCGAAGGAGCACCGCTCGCGGGGGTTCGAATGCAGAGGGTACGGCCGCACTATCCCGTAGGACAAAACGATCGTATGCCTCTATGCTCGACACGAACGGGTCGATGGGAGGGCAGATTGGATCGCGCATACGACTGACCATTAGGGATAGATGCTGTCGCCAGCACACCCCGATGGGTAGCAATATACACGACCTAGTCACGGGTTTCCCCCACCCGATCCAAGAGATCGAGTGGGGTAAAGTAGATTGCGGGGCCAAGTTTCCCACGGGCGCAAGCCCCCGTGGTTAATTACATCCCGGGCCGGAGCCCGAGAAGACTCTCGATTAAGGATCATACATTATCTTTTCCAAATTGGGATTGGCACATGGGTATAGACTAGGAAATCCTACTCAAAAGGAAGAAAGGTCCGAAGGGCTGAATTAAACATGCGTGGCTCAAACCAGCATTCGGAGGCTCTGGGGCACTAAACAGAAACTGGAGAAAATAAATCAAGCACTCGATCATTCTGTGACGCAGATAAGTAGGATTTAGGATCCCTGAAAAGAAGGGACCTACCTACTATTTAAGGCATACTACGAGACCGAGTGTAGTAGCCTCGAACCCTAAATCTAGATTGGACTTAGTGTTCGACACACACTAAGACCAGTGTCCTAACTAATGCGATGCAAAACCTGGACTTACCCCGGCCTGGATTGGGGGAGCCAGCTAACCACCTAATCGCTTTAAAACCATGCTGTCAAGTCATTTATGATAGATGGGTGGGTGGTACAGTTCTTTGGAAATAGGACCGACATCTAGAGAATTTCCTAAGTGGTCCTGGACTTATGTGGGTTAGATGCTCCTAGCTAATGCAATTAAATTTTAATTAAATTGATTTCTAATGCAATGCATGCTAGTTGAAATGTCAGCTCATGAATGCTATAGAACTTTAAAAACAGGCTTATAGAAAATAAATTTTTGAAAAGACTGGGTCTCCCTAGGTCCGGCACTTCATCCTCATAGGCCAGATTATCCGGACTCAACCCGCAGGCAGGGAGATGTCTTATAACAAGGAAAGAAAGATGCAGTAATATGCATGCGACCCCGGACGGCTCCGGCAATTCCCTAGGTTCAATATG